GGTATCTGTAATGTCGCTCGCCTGTAGCGGCTGACCGTTTCATAGATGTGGCTCGCTGAATTGAATGATAGATTTCACTTGCACCAACTCGTGGTGCATTGCGTTACCCAAATGGTTAACGGTATCTCTCCCTCAAGGCAACAGGGTGATTTCGATTCGAAAATTTCGAGTATCATACTTGAGCTGCAGGTTGCAACACGGATGAGTTCAGTAAGGTCCGTACTAGAGTTCGTGAATCGCGTCCGTGAGGCAAGTCCGATGCTCCTCTCTCGACCACAGGTGTGGTCTTTATTTACTCCAAGGAAACTATAAACTCCGCAGACACATCCTCGTTCATTGCTGAACTTCATGATAATACATAGCGGAGCCTCAGTCGTAACGATGGAGATGAATATTGGGAGCATTTGAGACATACATCGAAATCATATGCTCGGGATTTCTCCGGTCGAGTGACTCGATCTGAACACCTACGATTGTTGTTACAGCTGGAAGTGGGTGTATGAGAGTTGCCCTTATCAAGGAAAGTGACACTCTGAACGCTCCTGTTCCTTTGCTCGGCACCACTCACAGGGAATAGGCCTCTCGTTACTGCCTCTGTCGCTTTGCAGCATGGAACACGAACAATGTCGTAGTCTGAGAGGCGGAGTTTCACCAATTGATGTTTCGATGATGGAATGCCTGTTTGAGCTCGGGGAGCATCAAAACAGGAGACGCAGTATCCGAACGTGAAGGTCCCTCCCTAAGCTCAGTTAATTACAGCCACAACTCCCTCATGAGAGCTCTGCATATCACGATGTGGTCGCTCTGGTCGGTCTCCTCAGTTAACACAGCTGTCGTTGCACCAACTGATTATGGGGATCAGAATGTGAGATGCTATTCTGGTCCTGCTTATCGCGTATGAGTTCTCCTCCTCTTTAGAAGGCATACAAAATAATCAAGATGCAGTATGGAAGCGTCTGTAGAGTCCTCGGGACGAACTTCGAGTGGTACTTTGAACTCTCCAAAGGAACATTGAGAACAATCTCTCTGCGTTGCCAAAATTCTAACTATCACATGTAAGTTGGACCAGGTCGGCATTGAAAGCCGCAGCCTTCGAGGCACCTCGTAGTTCAGTTTTCTCGTGCATCTCAGAGCAGCGGATCCCACACAGCCAATCCCAAGAGCCGTCAGTATACAGAGACTTGGCGTCCCTTATTATCTCGACGATTTCCCTGACGAAAACAACATAGTTCAGGATCCTTTGTATGAGAAAGGGATCCATTACGACAGGGAACGCGGAGAGGACTGCGAGTCTATGGCCGCCACGGTTTACAGAAGTTTTCAGGATGTCTCTGGAGGCTCTAATGCTCCTGCTCGGCGGAAAAAACGCAAGATAGACCTGGGGTGGGAAAGTTTGGAGGCCGGGCTTTGTGCGGCGTACGCCAATCTGGTTGACCGATACGACCTCCTGCCGGTTCAAGCATGAGACTAGGAGCGAACCGAAAGCACCTTCGTCACCTCCCATCGAGGTCTTGTTCAGCCGAATTGTGTGTGTATTGCTGTCTATGTATTGTCGGTTCAGACTGTGATGTGTTAACTACAGTACATGAGGAACATTTCCGACTGGTAACTCTCGTCGAGGGTGCGACGAGTGTAACCTTGATACTAGGCGACCCCGGTCTTAGAGGTATTGCAACCGGTGCGTGTCAGAGTGAGAAGTGAACGAAATGTGGGAAGTGCATTGGTCTCACCATCATATATACTCCCTGGACAGTCGATGAACCATCTGCAGGAAACGTCTTACTTCACCATCTTCAAGATATCGAAACGCGTGAGCACACTTTAGCGAATCATCGAAGATATCACATACGTAGTACATGTCCAACGGTTATGTACGATCGTCACCCAGTAGCTAAAGATACTGCGTAACGGCCGCAGCAGCCAACGACACAGCACACAGCGAAGCACGTCCTATCAATGTGCTTTTTCATGTCGCGCGCCACAAAATTAGGCGAGGAATTTAGGGGCGCGCATGAGGAAATGCCATTTGCCGGTCGATCGGGCGTGCTAGCAGTGGCTTTTGCCAATGACCGGCTTCTATGCCTTTTCCATAAGCGTTACCCTTCTATTAGCATTGGGTGCAGGTGGTGCCCAACGACACCGTCACGAGGAGGTGGTAATGCTTAGGAAGCTGCTGAATAACATGTCTCTCCCAGGGCCACGGGAAAAGTCGTCATCACGGCTCTAGTACCTTCCTAGGCCCTTCTATACCTCATCATGAGCTCAAAGCACACCACAGTGATGAAGCTACTAGCAGTGCAAGGACAGCACAGACTAGGGTACGTTATAGTATGCAGTAGGACACGTCACTTTCGATCCCTCAGTCTCATATGATGCTTCGGCGAAGGGCACCTATTAAGGAAGTCCCCATCGAATTGACCTCATCAAGGTAGTACTGGGCAGGGGAAGTCGGTTTTACCGACTACGGCGCGAGATAGACCGTGCAATGATAATCTCGACGGTAGATGATCTGCCTTTCTCTTTAACTGAGTAGCATCTCTAGATTCCGAGTGCAATGATGGGTGCGCTGCATCAGCTGCTATTGCTGTACTCTTCTGTCAGCGCGATGATGGGTCTTCCAGCTTCGGCTCCGATCGCTCTACCCATTCAACGAGGTCTAGTGCCCATAGGGTTCGCCCCTCCCACCAAGTGGCGCATGAGGCCTACCTCTACAAAGTAACGAGTGTTGTTCCCATTCTCAACAGGGCTCTCTTCTCGTTGCTTTAGGTTGGCTATTCTCTATCTCCTCTATACATTCACTATCACCTGCGTCCTCACCTTCATCATGTGGCTCGCCTACGTGAAGATTCCCTATATAGTCGACATCGAGTGCGACCGGGAAGGCCATGTCCGCACCCCACCCGCCGTCTCGACGCTAACGGTCTGTGAGCAGATCAAGGTGGCTCATGGCGGCCCAGCTAAGGCGGTGAGTGTGGTTACTTGCCGTTGCCATCCGCGACGTGACATATCCGTAGTGTGATGATATCACTCAAGCTTTGATTCAATCGAATCATCAGCGACTCTTGTTTTGTTATACCACCACCAGCACCAGCATGAGCTACGCGCATGCCTCGTTGTCTGATAAGCCGCTTTACTGTTGCGCAGTAATATAAATAGCAAGCCCAATGAAGTGGTTGAAGTGATAGCGCCTTCGTGATGCTACTAAGAAGCTGTCCTCAGGCTACTACTATGGTAAGCATGCTACTACATACTGATACCAGCATTGTCGATGTGCCCGATACTGGTTGATGGCCAATCTCGAGCTATCGTATGGAAGGTACCACTATACCTAGCCGTAACCATCATGGACATTAAATGTATGAAAAGCATACGCCCAGACGGAAGCAATACAACCAGCAGCACGAAGCTCACTGGAATGACAATAGCATCCGAATGAGTGCCGCCTCGAGTTCTGTCATCGTCTCCGCCGACTGTTAGTATTAGTGCCAAAAAGCATTTCCGATTTCCTATTACTACGTGAGGAGATGGTAATGAGCTCGTTGTATAGCTGCCAACTCCTACAAAGACACTCACAAGCCATCAAACGAAGCAGCGATGAAGGTGTACCAACACAAGGGCAACATTGTTTGTCCCGTGAATAGGAAACGATTGGTTGGTATAGAAACAATCTGGAAAGCAATACGTGGGGGATTTGACGTTGTTGTTGATGATGATGGGTATGTGGGCTGATGCCCGACCGTCCTCCGATGACAATAGTCCGTCTTTTGGCGTCATCATCATGAGCATCTGCAGAAAGGTGTTGACGGATAGTAGATGGCCTAACGGATTTTAACATAATACTGTCGCATGAACATCACGCAAGCTAACGTCATCAAAGTAACTATTCTGAGCACTTCATCATAGGTAGTTAGTGATCATTTTGTGGTGATGAGCTACGATTCAATCTTACTCAGTCGGTCTCTTGGATGCCATCATACTCATCTTCGGTATAATCTTCTTTCTCGTCCTCCTCTTGAATGGCGCCCAGTCGGCCGCCCATACAACAGAGCTCATCATACACAGATGATGTTGATGATGACGAGGAGCCCCAATCGTCGTCATTCTCATCAGCATGAGCGGATGACTACTTATACACCTCTCCTGTCGAGGCTTCCCTAGTATCACATATTGCTGGATAGTGAGACCCTCAGAGCTGACAGTTGTAGGGTGGCAGTCTGCCTCGGCCACCACCCAATCTATCAATGGCCCGTTGCCATGCATCTCTGCTAGTATCATACC